CCGGTGCCAAGGCAGCGGAACTCGGCTGGCTGCCCCGGTGCCACGCTCAGCTGTGCCGGCTCCACGGTGGCGGTGGGGGCGCTGGCGGAGCCGGCTGCGGTGAGAGCCGGGGGGGCTTAGGGCTCGCCAGGCCCCCCCCGGTGCTGTCTCCAGGCGGTGGGGCAGTGCAAAGCAGGGTGGCGTGGCAGAGCCAGCAGCAGGGTGCATGTGGAGTCCTGGCATGCGGTGGGTGGGGGGAGCGTGCGGACCCCCAGGAACCCTCCCCGGTGACTTACCCGGTCTGTGCCCCTCCATGAACTCAACAGGTCCATAGAACATCTGAGTCTTCGAGGCAGCTGCGGGAGGGGGTGGGTCTCAGGGGAGTGTGCCCACCACCCTGGTGTGAGGGCACCAAGCCTACCCGCCACCTTGGCATCTAGGCACCAAACCTGCCCACTGCCTGGGCACCACGTGTGCCCACCACTCCAGTGTCTGGGCATTTAATGTGCCCATCACTGCAGCATCTGGGCACTGTCACCACGGAGCCAGGGTGGTGAGTGTGCCCATCACCTTAAGGACTGAGCACCCAGCAAACCCACCACCCTGGTATCCAGGCATTGAATGCATCCATCACCCTGGCATCTGGGCACTGACATCCTAACAGCAAACATGCCCATCAAACCCAGCATCTGGTGCCTTGGCACTGTGTGTGCCCATCCCCCTGGTGCCTTGGCACTGTGTGTGCCCATCCCCCTGGTGCTGCCCATCACCCCATCACCACGGGGTGAGCCACGGTGCCAGGGCTCACCCTGGACGTAGAGCGTGGCGGTGCCCTGGTCCATGTCCAGCATGTTGGAGCCGGTGCAGATGTAGACTCCGGCGTCCTGGGGCCGCACGCCGCGCAGCGTCAGGATCCCGTTGAAGTCCACGGCACCTGCCGGCAGCGTCCCGTGGTTCTGCCGTGTCCACACCAGGGTGTAGGCGGGAGACTGGGGGGACAGAGGTGGGGAGGCCTGAGGCCACTGGATGGGCGCATGAAGGGGCACGTGGCCAGGTGGGCACACGGGACCCCAGGGATCTCTCCTATGTAAGGAGCCAAGGGGGTTTGGGGGTACATATGGGCACAGCTGTCCCTTTGCTCTGTAGGACCAGGTGGGCACCTGGGGGCATCTCCACACCCTCAATGTCCCTGCACACACCCAGGAGCACCATGCTGTGTCCCCTTCCCCTCACCTTGCTCTTGGCAGTGCAGACGAAGGTGACATCGGCCCCAGGCTGCACCCGCTGCACCCGCTTCTCCTCCACGGTGACAGTGATGGGCTTGTCGGGGGTTTCTGTGTCCACACAGAGAGGTGAGCCTTGCTCCTGCCTCCCCTCTGGGCACGTCCCCGCCCTCGGTGACAACGACCTACCGGTGACGATGACCTCGGCGCGGCTGGCATTGCTGTGCCGAAGGTTGCGGCAGGAGCAGATGTAGACACCGGCTTCAGAGGGCTGGATGCTGGGGAAGTGCAGCTCCTCACCTGGGGGGACAGGCAGGTGACCCCCCACACCTTGGGGACACCCCGATGTCCCCCCCGGCGCCACCCAGTACCTTGTCGGCGGCTCTGGGCGCCCTCGGGGAGGGGCTGCCCATCCTCTCGCACCCAGTGGTAGTAGAGCGGGGGGTCCCCGGCGGCGTGGCAGCGCAGGGTGAGCGCGCTGCCCTGCGGCACCGAGCTGCGCGGGGGGTGCACACGCACGGCCAGCGCAGGATGGGGCCCCGCGGGGACACAGAGCTGTCCCCGCACCGTGGGGTCACCCGTGTAACCCGGGGCACAGCTGCGGGGAACAACGGGTTTGTGGGAACAGAGCGGGGTGCAAGTGGGAGGATGTCCATTGGGGTGGGTATGGGGATGAGCATTTTGGGGTACACAGGGTGGGTATACTGGGGTGTTCATCGGGGTACACAGGATGGGTATTTTGGGGTGTTCATCGGGGTACACAGGGTGGGTATTTTGGGGTGTTCATCGGGGTACACAGGGTGGGTATTTTGGGGTGAACACATCAAGATGGCTATAGCGGGGTGGTGACTGTATCAAGGTGGGCACTTTGGGGTGTCTCTATCACCATCAGGGTAGGTGCACTGTATTGGGGTGCCTATGTGAGGCTGAGCCCTTTAGGATGGAAAACCTGAGCTGAACTCGTTGGAGTGAGTGCACCATGGGGGTACAGCAGGAGAACATTATGGTGGCTGTATTGGGGTGGGTGTATTGGAGAGCATATGGCAGTGAACCCATCAGGGCAGGTATAGCAGAGTGGGTACACAGGGGTGAGCCCATGGGGTTGGTTTTTGGAGGGGTATATTTGGGTCGGTTCTGGCAGGGGGTATATTGGGGTGAGCCCATGGGGTGGGTTTTTGGGGCAGGTTTTGGGGTGCCAGCAGCCTCACCGCTCGCAGTACTGCCCAGTGTAGCCTGGCTCACAGGCGGTGCAGCGGTACCCGCTGCCTCCCAGACTCTCACAGGTCCTGGAAAACCTGCAGGGATGGAGCAAAGTGAGGGCACGTCCCTTCCCCAGCACCCCCAGCCCAGCACCCCCAGCCCAGTGCAGACACCCACTGGTTTTCAGGGTATGGGAGGGGACAGGCGCAGGGCTGGCAGTCCTCGGGGGTCCCAGCACTGGCGTCCCCGTAGAAGCCGGGGGCGCACTGGTCACAGAAGTCCCCTGCCGTGTTGTGGAGGCATCCCTGGGGGATAGTGGGGGCACAAATTGGGGGTGTCGCGGCTGGGGTAACACCACAGCACCCCCAAAAACGATTGGAATGCGGGGCCTTACGGAGCAGGCGCCGCTCTCAGGGTGGCAGCTCTCGGAGTGGCCGTTGCACTCGCACAGCTCACAGTGCCCCAGGTACAGACCCCCGCCGGTGCGAGTGTACCCAGGGGCACAGTCCTGCGAGAAGGGACAGCCACAGTCACACTGGGGGATGCTGAAGGGGTGATGAGGCTGGTGGGGGGATGGGGGTGATCCAGGGGACGATGTGGGGATGCTAGGGATGCTGAAAGGTGATGAGGACATGAGGGAGGGGACTGGGGGACAGATGGATGATGATAGGTGTGCTGGGGGGTTGATGAAGGGTGCTGGATGTGATGCTGGGTGGGAGCGTGGTAGGGGTGATGATGGGGAGGATCACGTGGAGTCACGGGGGGGTGATGACGGGGTGTGAT